AATATGTAAGCTCTGAGAGGACCGCCCAACCTGCGAGGTGCTTCACTCCAAGTTAGCTACTGTCCTGCACACCTCTCGGAACCTGCTAGTGACCACGACTCAGAGCGGAAAAGAAATCCTGGTGGAGGCTCCACTGGCTTTCTCCAGGAATGACAATGATGCCTTCCTGGTGGGAAGCTGGGAACCCTCACTTGGGATGCTTCGAGGGCCGCGGTGAGCATTCTTACCCTTTTGGACAAACCAGGAAGGGCCAGGCCATCCCCACTTCCAGGCTGGACTCCTCAGAGGTGCAGTTTGACACTCTCTGAAGTGGATTCTAAGTTCCGGAGTTGACTGAGCCTGGCACACTCGTTCCACACCTGGCTCCTCGCCACCAAGCCCATTCCCAGGTAAGAGTTTTAAGTTCTTTAAGAAAATTTTCTGCATAGACTTTCTAATTAGGGGGTTGGCCGACTTCTTCTATAAGGAGCCAAATAGTAAATATTTTAGGATTTGGAGACCAGAAGCTGCCTGTGTCACATATTCGTCTTTGTCAATTTAAACAAGCTTGTAAAATGAGAAGAAAAAAAAATTCTTAGCGTCTGGCCTCATAAACCATGAAGATGACAGTGATCAGAGGCTTGTCATGCACTATCTGGCTCAGAGGCTGAGAACTCAGTGACTATCCCTATCTATTGTCTTAAGGACCCAGGTTCTGCAAGGACTAAGTCCCACCCCCTCCCTGTGTGCTTGAGCATCAGCCCTATCCTTACTTAGTTCATCATCTCTGGTATCCTTTGCTCTCTGCCTTTTCTCCTGGTGATATATGGTGAGTTTCTGGTATTCATCAAGGCTACCAGGAAAATACACACACACACACACAAACACAAACACACACACACACATACACACCAGCAGCCACACCTCTCTTTGCTCATTTATTAAAAAATGTGGGGAGCAAAGTCATAGTCCCTACATCTTTTAATAAATTTGTTTAGTAGAAACCTAATTCAAGAAATCTCAGACTACTTATTTTAATAGCTTTTTTCCCCCAGTAAGAAATGTAATATATATCCACTATGGTAATTTAGAAAATAATGAAAAAATATGGACAAAAATTTCCACAATACTAATCCATATAAAATAAAATATTTATGTATTCAGCCTCTTTATTCCTTCTCCTGCCCTTTACCAAATCAGCGTTGACCATCTCTATTTTTAGACTTCCAAGACCTACTGTAGCAGTGGATTTGCCCTATTCCCTGGGGTTCTTGCTAGGATGCTATTTTAATCCATTGGTGAGGCTACAACAAAGTATCTGAGACTAAGTAATTACTTACAACAGAAATTGATTTCCCTAATTTCAGGAGGATAGAAATCCAAGGTCAAAGTACCAGTGTTTAGAGGGGCAAACACTATGTCCTCACATGGCAGAGGGATTAGAAGGGCAAAGGGCTTAGCTAGTTCCTTTGAGCTCTTTGAATGGTCATGAGTCCCATTCATGAGGGTCCCAACCTCATGGCTTAATCAACTTCTAAACATACCAAACTTCTTAATACTATCACGTTGGCAATTGAGTTTTGACAGTGAATTTTGGGGGGGGGCATTCAAGGCTGCCACAGAGTTGATAAATACTGTGTCCTGATAAAGTTCCTCTACATAAATAAATTCTTTTTAGAGAAATGTTAAAATTCACTTCTCTACCAACTTTATGCTGAGTTTAA